AGTTTCTTTGCAATTCTATGTAGTTTAGATTGCATGTAGAATCATTCAAGCTCGACATGATCAATCTTGCTTGTGGAGTGATTCGAATCTCAAACAAGTGTTTGAGATATTTGATCAACAAGAATCATTCAAGCTAGACATGATCGATCTTGCTTGTGGAGTGATTCGAATCTCAATCAAGTGTTCTTGCCTTGAGATATTCGATCGACAAGGTAATCCGAATCTTACTCCCCTTGTAGTGATTCCTTATCGTATCATTTGGTATCAGAGCTTCAGGCTCAAGATCGGATATATGTTTCCTTTGCGTTTCTTTTCAATTTGTTTTTTTCTTTTTAGTTTTTAATCGACCCAAAGTTCAAAGTTCAAAATTCAATCTTTGCTATATTTACAATTTTGAGAGGTGAGAATGAGAGCTTCATTTGTGTAAACAGAGTGGCCTAAAAAAAAAATCCTTGAGTGTTGTATACACATGGGAGATTGTTGTGAGGGCCTTTGTATTTTCATATCTTATGTTTGCAGCAAAGTTTCACAAATAGATTCGAGGACGAATCCTCTTGAAGAAGTGGAGAATGATATGAACCAAAAGACATCAATCCTACAATATACTTCAATGAAGATGTGAAGAAAAGGTTGTCAAAATTATCAAAAGATGTTTCAATTCATGCTACATTGAAGAAGAATAAAGTTTGATTGTTGTAAATTTTGGGTGGGTTATAATTTAGAGTTATTGTGTTTTAAGACTTTTTATTTAATTTCGGTTATATTTACATAATGGCTAATTATGGCCATAAAGTGTGAATGTTACAACTTTTAGAATGCTTTCATTTTGAGGCTATATAAAGCCATCTATGTTGTATTTGTAATAAGACTTAGAAGATATATCAAAAGAAGCATTTGTGCTTTTCTTTAGCCGATGGCTAAGTTTCTTTGCAATTCTATGTAGTTTAGATTGCATGTAGAATCATTCAAGCTCGACATGATCAATCTTGCTTGTGGAGTGATTCGAATCTCAAACAAGTGTTTGAGGTATTTGATCAACTAGAATCATTGAAGCTAGACATGATCGATCTTGCTTCTGGAGTGATTCGAATCTCAAACAAAGTGTTCTTGGCTTGAGATATTCGATCGACAAGGTAATCCGAATCTTATTCCCCTTGTATTGATTCCTTATCTTATCAGAATATCTCAAGGCAAGAACACTTGATTGAGATTCGAATCACTCCACAAGCAAGATCGATCATGTCTAGCTTGAATGATTCTTGTTGATCAAATATCTCAAACACTTGTTTGAGATTCGAATCACTCCACAAGCAAGATTGATCATGTCGAGCTTGAATGATTCTACATGCAATCTAAACTACATAGAATTGCAAAGAAACTTAGCCATCGGCTAAAGAAAAGCACAAATGCTTCTTTTGATATATCTTCTAAGTCTTATTACAAATACAACATAGATGGCTTTATATAGCCTCAAAATGAAAGCATTCTAAAAGTTGTAACATTCACACTTTATGGCCATAATTAGCCATTATGTAAATATAACCGAAATTAAATAAAAAGTCTTAAAACACAATAACTCTAAATTATAACCCACCCAAAATTTACAACAATCAAACTTTATTCTTCTTCAATGTAGCATGAATTGAAACATCTTTTGATAATTTTGACAACCTTTTCTTCACATCTTCATTGAAG